CCCCCTTTGATACTTTTTAAGAAATCCATTTTTGGCCGACCGACCCTTAAAATTTTCTAAAGGCGCCTTCGGCGCCAATATATACTAATTTTGAGGGGGGAGCGCGCGCCGAAAAAACGCAATTTTTCGGTCAAAATTTTCCAAAAAGTGCCTAAAAACGCCTTTTTTGACCTGTTTTTTCGTCAAAATTTTTCGTCAAAAAAAAAGGTCGTCAAAATTTTCGAAAATTTTTTGAAAATCCGCCCCCCCCCCTCGAGAAAATCCTAGATCCGCCCCTGTCCTTATGACATGTATTTTTTATGATATGTATTTTTTTAACTTGTGAAATTGTAATATTAGCGTCTTTTCGTGAAGCACTTTTTACAATTCTTACCTGAGTCAACCCGGGTATATTTTTGTTATCAGAAAAAATCTGATAAAGGTTTCATCCAAATAGTGGCAAGATTAAATAAAGCTTGAGGAATATTATTCAGTCTCAAAACATAAACAGCAGATAGTCCTAACACGGCGTCAAATACAGTAATACTGAATGATCAATGAAGTTTGAAACAGACACGAGTTTCAAATGACGTGCTTTAAAAAAGTCTCTTTATATATAATATAACTTTAATTGTAAATCAGGTGCGGAGTATATTTTCCAAAAAGGGAATACTTACTTTAAGGGATTTTCACTCGACAACTTCAGGTATTTTTAGTTGCGCTGATGATAGAAGTAAATGGACCTGCTTACGGAAATGGAGTTAGATCAGATGACAGTTATGGATGTATAAAGTTAGCAGCTTCCTCATATAGTCCCCAATTTCATTTGATTTTGATTTATATCGAGGTAAAATTTTGCCTCAGCTCATTGTAGAAAGACAAAATCATCCTGAATTATTTTCAAAAAAAACTATTTGATTGGGTGCGAAAAATGGGTTCATGCACGAATTTTTAAAGTTGCGCCAGAAATTGAGTGAAAAATTGGACCAAAATTAAACTTGGATGCTGGGCAAAAAGTGGGTTTGAGAAAAAATGAAATGAGAAACACAAGTCTTACATTGAGCGAGTTTACCTGTTTGTATATTATTGTTTATTTCCCACACCGGATAGAAGGAGGAAGATAGTTTATTTTTCATAAGTATGAGGAAATGGAACCAAATGTAAAATACTGTGTTTGGTAGGCGGGAGGCGCGTTTTTGGCTTCCATTATTCACAGAAGCATTAAAAGATAAAGAAGCAGAATAAAAGAAGTATTAAGTGTAAAGAAAGGTTTCATTTGTACACCAGATTCACAGTGCCATATATTCATCCACCTTCGCTTTAAGTACTTTTCAATTGCTACACTGGTATAATATTTATACAATTCTGACCATTAAATTTCATTAAATATATCGCATAGATAGGATAACCATGCAAAATCAGGTCTAGGTGAGGTTTTTTTCTCACATAAATCCGGCAAAAAATAAAGCAGACGATTTCAAACCTGTTCAGCTATGTTATGTATCTGGCGTGGGAAACAAGCGTGAAAACAAGGAAAAATGTGTTCAGCTGAAGGATGTTCTTCTTGTTCATTTTGTTCATTTTTGTGCAGTTTTTTCTCAGGTAGCTCTTCTTTTTTGATCTTTTTTTTCGTTTCAGTTTATCAGTCGAAGCACTTTTAAAATGCAACTTTAACAGACAAAAGGCTTTTTAGACCACTCAAGATACCAAAATTGACGGATTTCAAAGCTTTCTTTTTTTGAAAATTTCAACAAAATGCTGCTTTCAAAACTGTTCTGGTGGAAAACAATAAGAAAAGACGAAGATTAAGCCTTACAAACAGTACTAAAATAGTATCTAAAAGACACATTGTTCTTCTGCATTCTTCAAAAAAAATTTTTTAATGTGGCCAAGGATCGGATATGAAAAAATTTGGTAACTTAGGACACTGGCATGAATTTGGGTGGAACTTACAACTTTTTTTCTCAATGTTGTTGTGAGAACTTGCTATGACAATTGAAAACTTCTTTATAAAACTAAAACGTAAGTGAGAATTTTATCGGATCAATTGAGCAATCCCCCCCCCCCCGTAATTACCAATTGAGCTATCAATTCCCCCCAAGCAAAAACGGCGAGGCGCTTAATAAAAGCAAGTAGGTTGCTGATGTGTTCATAGCAAGCAATCAAGTGAGCAACTCAAGTTCGTTTTATATGAATATCGAGAAAAGTTTTGAACGACTAAAAAATCGAAATTTATATAGTTTTTTTTGCAATTTTTGTTTGGGCGACCATTGCCTCTCATAGAGGACCAGGGTTGGTGCTATACCTTTGTATCTGCATACCAAAATATGCTTTTCATTCATTTAGGGCAAAAAAGTCGCTTTATGCGCCTCAGTTTTATTGATACTTTTTTCACTCTGAATGTAATTTTTGAGCTTTGATATTGTAAAATTTTGCATTCTATATTCGTTGGAGAGCCTGGTTCAAGATTTCATATCATCCAAGTTTTTTTCAAGTGGTTCTTAAAAAGTCTCAAGTACCTACTGAGCTATTTCCCCCCACGCAAGTATGGGGGGGGGGGGAGATTGCTGAATTGATCCATTTTATACCTTGCTTTTTAGACACCCACTCAAAAGGAAACTGTGACGGAAAACTGTACTACTTTTGAGCTGGAGGCCCAATCGCTGAATAAATCGGAAAGGTCCTGCATGTTAAAAAAATATTTATATTTCTTCAGTCAAAATTATGGGTGATGAAATAAATCAGGGGCTTCAGAAGGATGATTTTAATTTGACAAAGCGAGTTACCGAAGCGAGTTCACTTAACAAAACATCTGCCTAATGTTTGATCTTAATAAAGTCAAACACTAGGCAGATCTAGGGCTTTTTGCTTGAAGGAACGGTACTCAAACGTTTTTTGAAGAATTTTTTGATGTTTTTCAAAATACCAAAAAGATATTTTTAAAATCTCTAATGTTGGTAAGTTTCTGCGCCGCATTCAAATTTTTCAAAATAATATCCCCAAAAAAGACATTTTGAGCTTTTTTTGGACTTTCAAAGAAAGTGACTGAATACTTGAGCTCGAAAAGATTTTTTTTTTCATACCATTTTCAACTTTTCACAAACCATTTTTGAACAGAAACTTTTATACCATCCGAACACCACTGATGTCCTAGAATCAAAAAATACCTGTTGGCCGTTTTCGACGCGTAATGAGTATTTTGCAAATTTGTCTAATATGCGACAATTAATTCGCGATAACTTTCGTGCTTTTAACGCGAAAGTGCCCGAAATGATGCTAATCAATTATAATGGATTTTCCTGGTCTGTCTCCATAAAATTCTAAAATAATTGATTATAAAGGATTAATAATCGATTGTAAAAACAAAATAGAAATCAATTTCATCCATTAAAATCAATTATATTGAATTAGAAAGGATTATAACGGATTATATTAGGTTATAAAAATTAGAGTTTAAAAATATTTTATGAAGATGAGCCTGAAGTTTCCTAAATCTTGAATTCAATTATTCAAAGCTTGAACGTTGCAATTGCTAAGTCTTACAATTGCTAGAGCAAAAAAATTGTATTGTTTTCTACTTATGCTTTTCTTTATACTTACTACTAACTCCCAACATTCTTACTTTCTTCAGCTACCACCCCTCCCCTTCCACACAGTTTACCCCTTAGTTACAGTTCTCGTAAAAACACGTTAAAAAACCCTACGCGTACATCCTACCCCCTAAAACGCACTCACACTTGGGGGTAGGTTGATGGGTGGAGTAGGTGGGGTAGGTGGGGATAGGTGGGGATAGGTGGGGGGTTAATTGGGGTAGGTAGTATGGGGGGAGGTAGAAGGGGGGTAGGTGGTGGGCATATGGGGTTAGTAGGTGGGGGTACATGGGGTTAGTAGGTGGGGGGTATATGGGGTTAGTAGATGAGGCGGGGTTGGGGTAGGTGGGGGTGGGGTGATAGGTGGCGGGGAGGCAGGTGGTGGTGAGGTACGTGGTGGGGAGGTAAATGGCGGGGTAGGTGGGAGTGTGGTATGTGGGGGTGGGTGTTCGGGGGGGGGGGGGGGGGGACTGTTGAGGGTAGGCGAGGTGCATAAGTGGGGCGGGGATAGATGTGGGGATAAATGTAGGGGGATTGGTGTGAAATTTTTGGTGAGATTTAAAGTGTGAGTGATATGGTTTTGCAAATTTTAACTAAACGAGAGAAGGTTTCCAAATCGAGTGGTCTGTAAATAATGCTCTCTGTGAGTTGTAATGGATTTTAATTGATTTATAATGGATTTGATTTCTCTAAACACAATGGGTTATAATGGATGTTAATCAATCGCGTGGTTTCAAAGGGTAATTGTAATCGATTATAAATCAGCTTTTTGTCCACAAAAATCGATTATGATCCATGAAACTTCACTGCGGTTGGCTTTTGATTCCGCCCAAGAATCGTTCCAAATGGAATTGAGGCAACAAATTTTTTGTTATTCATACGTTACTAGACGCTCAGAGGTTTGTTTGTAATTGGCATAACGTTGGGGATTTTTGCATTAAAAATATGAAAAAAAAATTGTTTTTCTTTTTTCATTTTTTTGAAAGTTTTCTCAATTGTTTTTTAAATTGACGCTTTCAAGAAACTGCTTCAAAAACGTTGAGGGAAAGTCGGAAGATTCAAGTTTTCACCCTGATACGAAGCATTTTGTTGTTCCGACTTTCGAAGAAAGTTTTTCCAGACAAATTTCTTTTTTTAACAAACTATTTTGTCGAAACTTTAAAGATAGAAAGTTTAGCCAATATGGGATAATTAACACCGAATTTATTTCGCGCTTTCAACGCGTAAGCCATAGCAATTGTTGTTGGCATGCTATTCGGTCTATTTATTACTTTGCTATATGGGAATGTATAACTCTGTATTTTACCAAGCGTGTAAGGATGTTTTTCAGAAAAATCCTAAGAATCGTTTTTGGGAAATTTGTCCTTTTTGAAAAAATAATACGTTTTTGTAAAACACTTGCACTAGTCTCCAGAGACCTAAAAACAGTCGGAACCTTCAAGCTTTTGCCCTGATACGAGAACTCTTGTTTTACATTTATTTTACGCTCTCATTTGTTTTACATTTATTTTCAAAATTAGTATGTATTAGAGCCAAAGTCGCTCGTAGAAACGTTTTAGCGTTTTAGTTTAGTTTTCAACGCTTTCATTTAACATTCCCCTTTTAACCAGTGCCAAAAAAAAAGAAACTATGAGTGACGAGGAGTCAATCTCCTCGGTGAAGTGCTAAAAAAATGAAAAACGAGCGGCATTATTTTGACTTTGAGATCAATTTTATCGAAACAGACTATGATTAGACTCTGTTTTCAGAAGTCAGCCGTGGTACAACCCCATGATGCTGGCAGATACCAATCAACCACCCGTCAACACAGATCAGCACAAAATGATTGACGTATAATTTCAATTGAACTATGAACCAATTTATATACCAAATTACTTTCCCCTTTTAACAATTAATTAAAATCATTGAAAAAGAATTGAAATGGATTTTTCAAAAAGTTTTCGGAAATGTTGTTGAATTTTGTAGGTCGACCAAATTGAATTTTGGATTTTTTTTGCGTTGCAGACACCTTTTTGGAAAAAGCAGGCCAAGATGCGTTTTAGGCACTTTTTGGAAAATTTTGACCAAAAATCCAAAAACATATTAGCGACGAAGGCGCCTTTAGAAAAACTCTAGCGTTAGCCAGCCAAAAATGGAGGTCTGGAAATAATACCAAAGGGGGAACCTTTGAGTAGTCTGGGGGTCAAATCCCTGAGGGGAAGGCGTCCACCGATCCGCCGCCAGGGATTCGACCCACTCTAAATCAGCTCCTAGGTATATCACTTTTTATTCCCTTTCTATTTGTGCTTACGTCCTCCTTTTGAAATGCGGTTGATAGTCACAGCCTCTATTTTTGTAGCCACTGCGCTCTTCGTCCTGAATATCTGGTTTTTCACTACTATATGAAAACAGCGTGTTACTAACTGTAATCAGGTACTGCTTTTATATTCAGCTATTGGAAGATCAGATGTCACTTGTAAATACCATTTAAAAACCTCACCGCTAAACAGTACCAGATTATTACCATACAACCTCATTTTAATTATGAACCAACTTCTATAATATATAACAGGAGAGCGTCTCTCCGCCTCTTTCGCCCTGCTAACCGCCACTGCTATAAAACACAAAACACTCTACGACACGACTCATTTTTTGCT